GGTGGCTGCTGAGTCCGGGGCGGGCGCCGCCTCTCTGGTAGCGGGAGACGGGGTTCGCTCTTCGGGCGGTGCTGGAGGCGAGGAGGCACGTCAGCGCCACGAGGATCCAGTGCAGGGCCTGCGGGGGAGAGAGAGAGTGGAGGTGGGGGAGGAGGTTCGGGGTCGGTGTGGAAAACCCCCTTTTAGAGTTTCTGCCTTGCGGCTCTATGAAAAATCGTTCTTTGGCGCTTGGAAGCTTCCCTCAATCGGGTCTCTTCGAGTTTACAGGGTGATAATTAAGTCATGTGACGTCGCGTGACCAATTTGTGGAACTCCAACATAAAATATGTGTGTTGCAGCTCCGAGAAAATAGAGGGATACTACCACTTTGTCGAGGGAAAACGTTGATCCACGTATAACATACTAAACAAAACAAAAGTTTGAAATCTTCAGGAAACTTTTTTGCTATCCTCTGGATGAAAGTTGAGTTGTCCCAATTTGAGATTCACCTCTGGAATTGACGTTTCCTGCTGATACGCTAATATATCATCATAAAAAAAAGTTTCTCGAGGAAAGGAAAGCATAGGCACTCAAACACATATTGTAATGGTAGCATTTGATGCAGGACCGAACCGGTAGAAACTCCACGGAGAAGGTTAAAATAGCGGTTTACTGCCTGAAAGTAAGGACGGCATTTAATGCGAAAAGGGGGAAAATTCAAAAAAAGAAGCGGCCATCCTGTAACGATAGCGACAAAAAAGTCGCTTCACGAGCAAAATTATGATTTTTGCCGCGACTTTGATGAAACCTCGAAATCACGATACTGTCGTGACTTTGAAGCCTGGCACTCACATTTCGTAGTCTCATGCTGTGGAGCGGCTTTTCTCACGAGGTGCAAAGAACACAATGGACTCGGAAGCTCGACTGGGGATGGAAGCTGACCCGGCGGGAAAGAGAAACTGACTGACCGATCGCCTGTCTCCTCCCTACATATACTATCAGGAATCTCCCCCTCCACCTCCCCTCCACCCCCCTCCCCCTACCCCCCTCCTACTGACTTGCATCAAGGCTAAGGCCAGAGGCGGAAAAAAAATTCTTCCGGGAGGTGAAAGAGGCGGGATGCGTTGAAGTTACAGTTGGACTGCTTTCAATTCACTTACCATATGCTTTCCCGTTTCGTTCGGCCTGTTCCATTTACATCAATAAACAACGACTCTGCGGAAGATACTCACCTACGGTAAGGTCAGTCTTGAGCCTTTAACTGGGTTTCTCTTCGCGTTTTTCGCCAAGATGAGAAAGGAAAACGCTGCCAGGGATCGGGTCCAGTGGGGAGCAAGCGATTCGTATTCTCACTCAAGTCGCTGATCGGATTTATGATAGAAATCCTTTCAGACCTGACGTCCATTCTAATGGACGTTGCATTTTCATTGTTTCTATGGCGATTTCTTGGGATTCTCGTGACTTTGCACCCCCATATTACACTACAATGGACACAATTATGGATGGTTCAATTCCGTCGGAGGCCTTCTCTAACTGTCAATCTTAAGTTTTGTAATTTCATGTGTAATATATAAATATGTGGTATGATATGGTAAATTAATACAAGATATAATAACGATATATAGAACATAACAATTTAGAGTAGCACAGGAAAAGAGCTTAAAAATGCAAAAAAACAAGTAAATTATTCCGATTGTGATCTTAATTCAGGTCTGGAAAGGTTAATGAAAATACACATGACGGACTGCCGCTTTCCCCGGCTCATATTTAAATCGAAAGGTCCTCGCGAATTCCAGCGAGAACGAACGCGAAAAGTCAATGTAAATATTCAGCGATCAAATTTAACAAATCAATATGTTCCTCCCAAAATTTGCTGAAACTCCTCTGGGGGGAAACCAGCTTGGAACGCCGTCGATCTCGTCGTCGGTGCTTTCGTTTCGGGGAGGGGCGATCGACTTCTCGGAGGTCCTCCGAGATTTTCGCATTTTTTTATCGCTCGCTGGAGCCATTTGCCGATTTACTGACACCTTCATGTCATATGCTGACTGAATTTTAAAGCCCTTTTTTGTTTCGGTCGAAAATGGAATCCCAAAAACTTCTAAAATATTTTTCCTTCATTCGAACCCGTATCGGCGCCGTTTTCGCCAACGGCCAACGGCCAACACCTCCACCCCTCATTCCCACTCCATCATGCTCCACCCAAGGACACAGCCGGGAAAAAACGACCCATGTCCTATCCAGTCCATTGTCAGAGTCAGACGTCAGCGCTGATGTCCCTGACTGCAAACAAATGCCGTATTCCTCGCGGCTCCAAGGCCCGATGGACTCCATTGTCACGAGACAGCTCATTTATTATTCTCGAAGGCATCGCAGTCCGTCATCGGAAGTCAACGTTGAAGAGCACGCGGGAACGAGGAAAAAAATGCAACGAAAAAGAGCGAACATCAAGTACAATTATTTTCAGATTTGAAACAAGCCAGGAAATGATAGACAGATTTGAATAATAGTTGAAGTGAGAGGGTAATCGAAATTTTCTCATTCATTTCGATTATGCTCGAAATTCAAATAAGGAAAAATAAAATTGTAGACCCTCAATTTTCTTCGGCGGAGTTTCACGAGAGATCATCCCAGAGTAAGCGGAAGTTCATACTGTTTTGCATGACTTCATATCGCTTCATATTACTTCATATTGCTTCACATTACTTCATATTGCTTCACATTACTTCATATTGCTTCACATTACTTCATATTGCTTCACATTACTTCATATTGCTTCACATTACTTCATATCGCTTCATATTACTTCATATTGCTTCACATTACTTCATATTGCTTCGCATTACTTCATATTACTTCGCATTACTTCATATTGCTTCGCATTCATATTGCTTCGCATTACTTCATATTGCTTCGCATTGCTTCGCATTACTTCATACTACTTCATACTTCTTCCACTGTCGGCGAAAGTGAATCCGACACTGCTTGACCTTGATGCTTCCCCTCAGTAATTGAGAACAGGAGGCATAAAGGCTTGAAGGTCGATGTTGTCGTTATGTGAGTGGAAGCCTTCCTTTAGGGAGGCTAAATTCCTCATTTGGAATTTTCTTATCAACAGCTGTGTGATAATGATATAAAATGAACAGATGAGCAGATGATACTCCAAGGTGCATGGCACGGTAAGTACTAAATTTATAAGATAGAAAAATATTTTAATAAATATTTAAAATATTTTAATGAATTTAACACCTTCAGTGCTTTTACAGCGTTTTGAGGCGTTGTAGCACAAAACTATCGTGGTTACTCTCATTTTTATTCCATCGATATAGAGAATTACATTAAAAGAAATAAACCGCTAATTTTAGCGAAATATAAAGTATGGAAGATTTCTCTTGGGAGAAAAATCTTGGTATCAATGTGCGTCTTCGAGTAGGTATGATACGTTCACTAGGTATTGCGACTGGTTGTGAAGGGCGTCATTGCATCTGACCCTGAAAATCATGCTCAGGTCATGTATTGTTCTTTGACAGCAATTATGGATAATTTTTTTTGCATTTTTCAGTGTTTTGGGTGATGAACGTATTCAAAGTGGCTCTGCATATTTGTACTTTTGATTCCTCCTGATTCCTGGTAATAAAAGCAGGAATAATATTTAAATAAATAAAATGAATCAGTCTGTCCCATAGAGTGTATATAGATGTCCCTGGAGAGGCCTTCGCTCCCTTGAGACTTACAAGTGCTTGCGCCATCTTGGTGAAGTCCCGCAAGTGGGAATGAATAGCGTGATTGGTTGGGTCCCGGCGTGGAGGCCCCCAGGCATATAGCTAGAGGAAGAGTTCCGATGGCAGGACGAAAGAAAAACAAGAGCGGCTGGGAATCGATTCCAGGGCTTCCTGTTTGGCGTACAAGTATGTTTATCCTCTACACCACCGAACCAAATACGATCAAGTTGTACTTTCCATGTTATCCATAATATTACTACGGGAGAGATGCATTCTACGCACACCCCGATACAGACCTGGGGGATCCGATACGGACTTCTCAGGTTATTACACTTGTAGTCCTCTTTCATTTCCTACGGAAGGATGACTTCCTCACCGGGATGAGATCTCTTCATCGTATATTTATCGGGATCTCAACCATTTTGTAAACCAGAACCCCATCCTTTTATTGATCGGCATTCCCACAAAGAGAGTGACTCCCGAGGGTGAATGCGGCGGGATCCCACCTGTACGGAACAGGAGCCGAAAGATGCCGTCGGCCGCGTAGTAACCATCCCGTTTCTCTAGCGTATGTTTCACTCATGGGCCTACGTGAAAAGTGGTGGAGATGGACTCTAGAGACGATACGCACATCGTCGAGATCGATACGGGATGAGAGTGCCGCTCGATAAAAGTCCGTATTGTAGACGTGAATACCCCCGTGAATAAGAGGGAGGGGGATGCGCAATACGTATAATGTCAGCAGCTGCTGCGCAGAGTGTTAATGGGGCCGCTGACTGAACTCGTGAATATCCGAAAATGCTACACGCTTAGCCTAAACCGACCCAGAATTCGTGGATGTCTTCCACGGGTTGGGGTCTCCGTCTCGCTCGAGAGCTAGCAGTTTCTTTCGAGTCTTCGCGACTGTCGGGTTCGTTCTCGAGAACGGGAGAGAGAGCGGCTGCCGCATTGAATGTTCAGGTGCTGACTGAACTCTTGGATTCCCAACTATGTTCAGAACCATAGAAAGGGGGAGGGGGGACCAGCCACACTGGATGATGTATGGATTGAATACTATTGTTTATTATTATCGTAGCGTTCGTTCACAACGAAGAGTTCAAACACACTGAGTGTGTTTGAAGCGGCAGGGAGGGGTGAAGAGCGGAAAGGGGGCCCTTACGTGGATATTGCTCCGGGCCTCACAATTCATTTTGGCGACCCTGACTATGTTACACGATTAGCCTTGGCCAGAAATGTCAAACTTGACTAAGCTGGGGACCCTTCAGGAGTGGTTGGACCCACATTCGCACATCTTGCACCAAAATTTCAATTGCCAACGGGTTGAAAGAGTCTACTCTGTTTAAAAAACCAACTGCCGAAGAGGACTTTGCAGGCCGGACGAAATCAAATAGTTGGCCGGCAGTTTGACACCCATGGGCTAGACCGACCCGAAGTTCGTGGAAGTCTTCCACAGGTCATTCTCGAGAACGGGATGGGGGATTGTGGTCGAAAGGAAAAAGTGACGATCGATGAAGGGGTTGGGATTCCGATAAGGGCGAAGATCTCACTCCGGTGAGGAAATTTTCCTTCCTTCAGCGGGATGAAAGGGGACTTCAAGGGTTGCACATGGGAACGTGTAAAGATTGGGGAAGAAGATTTGATGCCTATGGCGATGAGAGGGCCTCTGAGTTTTAGGGCCACGAATGAACCAGGGAGTTCTTGCCCAAGAGTTCGTGGAAGTTTTTCACGGGTCGGTTTGTACATTTTTAGTTAGCATTAGTAATTCCCTTCTCCGTATTCCTTGCTTTCCTCAACGAAGAAAGGATTCGCTGGCAAGAACCTTGCCTCGGAATGACTCTTGACGAGCAGAATACACCATTTTACCTTGGGGATCTATTTTTATATTTTAAAGCGCTGTTCATGTTGGGAGAGCTGCTTGGGAAAAAATAAAAATAGGAAAGCTAAGAAACAACGCTTTGAGGGGGGGGGAGGGGGCTTTGCCGCTCTCGATTCTGACACCCGTTTCAGTAGCAGAAAGTACCTCAATTCCTCAGATCAGATCCTCAGTTTCTCAAGGACGATCGTGCAAACAACTTCTCTGGAATGACTGAACGCGGGAAAAAAAAAAATAATTCCTTCATCGAGCGTACTCTAGTCCAAATAGACAGTATGGTAGCCTGGAGATCATCACGCCTCACGTCTCCTCCATCGACGTCGACTGGATCCCGACGCATTTTGCCAGGAAAGATAGTGGAAGATGGAGGTCGTGAGCCTGGCTCTCGCCTTCGGGGTCCTCGCCATCCTCGTCTACGCCCTCGCCTGCCTCCTCGCTCGACCGGATTACTGGGAGAAACGGGGGTTCAAGGCCAAGACTCCTGTTTATCCTCTGTTTGGGAATCTGTGGAAAGCATGGACCAGCGAGCAGATCTTTCGCTCCGATATCAACGCTATCCACCAGATCGGCAAGGTAAGAAGCGAAAGCTCTCGTATCACATATTTTTATCTGGATTTTCGCTTCTCTGGACATTTCAGTACCGTCCAGGGGACTCTTATTATGCCATAATATCAAATCATTTTCAGAATTCCTCATTTCCCAAGCTCTAAATACACTAATGTGTCCTGTCGCTTAGCGCAATTAGTGCAAATCGTGCAGAAACGGTAGTTTCACCAAGTCATGCATCATAAGTCGAAACGTGTAATGCAGCTTGGGAAATGAGAGAACATGATGACCATTTAGTTTCAATACCTGGCGATTTATTTCCTTAATGAGAATCATTGACAAGACCAGACCAGTGGCGTGCCCAAGGGTTATGAGAGTCATAAATTTTTTCAGGTAAGATTTTCCAGAAAAAAAAAATTTAGTTTGGCAACAAAGCAGGGTGAGTATATATTACGGAGTACTATTTATTCATTTGTCAACACACCCCATACCCCATTTATTTGGATTCCCTGGGCATCCTACTGGTGCCTTGATTCAATAGATGAACTAAATGAGAGGGAGAAAAAAGTAGTGTGTCGGCTGTTAGTGGAATCGATGAAGCATTAATTGGACATCGAGCATTAGGAAAGACCAAACTACAAAATTACTTTAGAGAAGAGAGCCAAGAGTAGTTACTAAAGTTATACAAAGACGTTCAAAAGAAATAGTCTGTAAAATACTCATGAAGTAACATTTTCAGCTAACACCATCAAGCTGCTGATATTGTGCGATTCCCTGATTTCTGCTAATTCCCTGAAGCGTTCCATCATCATCACCTTTGAGTTCTAGTCATAGGACCTTCTTTGTCCTCGGGATGGGATGACCTTGACCTTGGCGTGCTTGAGTAATGAAACTCTTCCCTCCCTCGTCGACCCTGGCGATGGGCGTCGAAACAAACACGCCACGGTTTCCATTACACAATCATGCCACCCCTATCATTCATGTGAATCTACCACTAGTCGTTCCCATTTTGACATCAGGAGATATTAAAAATACTGTACGACATTTGGCAACATTGTAGAATCGTTGCATTGTTAAGGTCAAGATTCCTCATTTCATGTTTCGGCATGAATTGTGAAAAATCTGCTTGCGCACTCTCATCCAAACACTATGGACTGGGCTTCCTTCAAATAAATATTGGCTCAAGTAAGTCGATTAATGAAGAAAAACGTATAATCACATTGACTATACGTTTTCTTTCATTATTCTCATTCATAATATTATTTCGCAATTTTATTTTTATGATACAATAAAACAGCCTAAAACTGCAACCCATCGCTAAAGCAACGCCGATGACAAAGCCACAAGGCTCTATAGGCTCCAATTTTCCTCCCTGTGACCCCGATGAACCTGCCAGGTGTACGGGACCTACGACGGGAGGCACCCGACGCTCGTGGTCGCGGACCCGGACATGATCAAGGAGATCCTGGTGAAGCAGATCGACGTCTTCACCGACCGACGACCTTTCCCCGCCGTGCAGTGAGTCGCAAAGAAATGAAACAGATTGGCAAAATTGGCCAAAGAGAAATTGTTAACCCTATTACCCATCTATGCTCCGAAAAGAAGAGAAGAGAGCTGGGCCATATCAAAAAGTTTGCTCGTGCTCACAGCCCAAGCAAACCTTCATTACAGCCGACCTGTGGAGAGTAGCCCGGTAGGCCTAAGTCTCGGCCTGAGCATAACACTCAGACTTAGCCCAAGGTTGACAGATGACGGCACCCACAGTGGTTGCAGTCATCTGACACTCTTTCAGCCATACCTTCTCCACTTCTAACTTTTCTTCGCTCTATCGAGAATTCAGAAAATGATCTATTGTACTGAAAGTTTAACAAGACCGTGCACCCGGTGAGGATGTCGTAGGGTTTTGTGCAATTCAGGGGATTTTGAATCTTCCTATGGAGAGACACATGGATGAGCATGTTATGCCTAGTCTTTAACACCTGCTTCTGCTGTTGTGCCAAGATATCATTGCACTTGCAGATGGATCCTGCACCCCCACTGCCTAAGCTCCCTTTTGCCATCAAAGCCCTTGTCAAGGGCACCGTCATGCCATTAGGCACCCCCACAGCTTGTCCGTCAATTGCCTTTACTTATTTGTTCTGACAGGAAGGGCGAGTCTATTACGACAGCGGGAGTAAAAAAAACACATTGCCGCCTTCTTACCTTACCACTCTCGACCGCAGGTACCGGGGACAGGTACTACCTCGTACTTTTGTCTGTTCTCGAGATGCAGAGCAGTACGTGGTCTTAAACTTAACAACTCTTTCTTCGTTGGTGGCAGGCATAAGCAGGCGCGGCATTATCACTCATAGCTAACATGGCATTCTTCGGCATTAAATAATCAGTCGACAAAAACGAAGGGAGAATCGGCAGGACAAGCCGTGGGAAGGACGATTTTTGAACCGGGGAGATATGGAATCTCCCTAGGTTGAAATGACATTGACACGACTTAACGAGGCTTTCGCGAAACCAGCGGGTTCAGAGATATTCTCCCTCCCTAGGGAGATTAGAAATCCCCCTGAATTCCACAAAAACCCAACTACATATGTACATACCTGTATATAATCCTGATTGAAATCCCTTCAGGCGTGCTCCACTGGTGAGACGATTCGTGTCCCTCATGAAGGGCCAGGAATGGAAGGACCTCCGATCGAGCCTCACGCCCGTGTTCTCCTCTGGAAAAATCAAACGGATGTCTCCCATGATCGAGGAATGCGCCCAGAGACTCGTCAAAAACTTCCAATCTTCCATTGAAAAGTCATCCGTCGACAAATCTTCCTCCCCAGGAGTCCTCGACCTCAAGGCTCACTTCGGCGCCTTCACTTTAGACGTCATCGCGACATGTGCCTTCGGCACAAGATTGAACTCTTTGGGCAGCCCCGACGACCCTTTCATTAAATACGCTCGCAAGTTCTTCATCAACCCGAGAACATCTACTCCAATCGGAATTTTGCCATTCATGTTTCCCAGCATCATGTCCACCAACCTGACCTTCTTCTCGCGCGAGGGTCTCCGCTTCTTCGCCGACGTCGTTCAGCAGCTCCTGAAGGAGAGGAAAGACTCCGGCAAAATGGGAACGCGAGGGGACTTCATCGATCTTCTGCTCGAGGTTCAATCGAGCGACCTCAAGGGCAATGTAGATGACGAAACTATCACTGCACAGGCCGTCCTCTTCTTCCTCGCCGGATACGACACAACCGCCACTCTTCTCACTATGTCTACCTTTTGCCTTGCCACAAATCCCGCAGTACAGACGAAATTGCAGAACGAGCTGCAGAAGGCTGGACCTTTGAATCGGGAGTCGATTCTCCACTGCTCTTATCTGGATCATGTCATCAACGAGGCCCTCAGGTTGTACCCGCCGGCCATAAGAACGGAACGTCTCTGTGGGAAAGATATTGTAATCAATGGCTACAAAATCGAAAAAGGAATCGTCGTACATGTCCCCATTTATGCCATGCACCACCTGGAGGAGTTCTTCCCGGACCCTGACAAATTCATACCAGAACGGTTTGCGGATGACCAGGTTTTGCCATACACGTTCCTCCCATTCGGACAGGGGAGCCGGAACTGCATCGGGATGCGATTCGCCTTGGAGGAGGCTAAGATCGCTCTGGCTCACGTCATTTCAGCTTTTGAGTTTTCTCGAGGGCCGGAAACGGAAGTTCCGCCTCGAGACCATCCCAATATGTTCCTCTATCAACCGCTCGATGTCAAGATAAAGGTCACTCCTCGATGACCGCAAAATATACCTACTTTCCTTCGTCTATTCGCTTTTTAGGTCCGATTTAAGTTTTTATTTTCGTGTACATCCCTTAAGTAGGCAAATTAGGACTCACTGGCATTCGTATTTGGTATTGCATAATAATTCGTCGTGGTTTGTCTATTCCAACAAATCTTTGGGCCCGGACTGCTTCCTTAGAGTAAAAATGGATTAATAGGAAATGCACATACTGTATTAAGTCACAACATCAGTGTTAACAGGTTTCATTTTCCAAGTCATTGGAATGCATCTTACATCTTCCCAATGTATTCTCTCTTGCACGATCCTAGGAATAAAGAAGATGGACAAACCCAGACCAGAAGTTGGCCTCTAAATGAAATTTAAGGAGACCTGCATTTTATCACCCAATTAAGCAAAGTGCCATCGCTTTCCTGTTTCTTGGTCAGCAAAAACATCATTTTTCTCTCAAGTTTGAAAATTTTCCCATGGTGCCCATGCCGTGTTGATGGGAGGATGGATTGTTGTGCGTGCTTGGAATCATCCGCCACGAAGGTGAATAGGGAACTGACAGCTCTGGTTGCTGACGTAGCACCGCGCCCAAGGACTGGGTCTTACACGCGTTTACATTATGATCCAGTTCCTGATGGTCCCACTCATGCCTTCCCCTCCTTGACAGAATAACAAATCCAACATTTGCCATAAAAAGGCAAATTTTCGTGCACATTCGCCATAAAACGAACTCAGCCTGTTCATATCTACCTGCTTGCCAATTTTCTCTTGTGTCAGGCTACTATTTTCTTTGTTATCGACGGCCAACCCACTCGCTCACGGGCAAAAAGACGGACTGGACGGGACCACAGGAAGAGAAAAAGTGGGCCTTCTTTTCAGGAAAAGAAGGCCCACTTAAAAGAGGTTGTCATGGAGATGGGGCATCTCGTTGAACCTTGCGGATAGTGGGAAAGGGCCATCGTCCCTTATGCCACAAAGTTCGCAATATGAAGATGTAATGTACAACATTAAAATTTTTAAGCTTGTTCCTTTTCTTAACTGGTCTTCCCCAGTCTAGTTGGAAATTTTCGGGGGAAATATCGAATCGAAGTCCTTGCTGAATACTTTCCATTATAAAAAATGCATAATAAATGCGAAAATTTCCGGAATTTGCGAAAATTCAAGGAAGTTGGACTTGCACGGCCCCCGAAACTGGTCTTTGGTTGCTTCTTCCAGAACTCGTCGAAGACGGCTCGGAAGCACACTGTCTTTACCTCTTGGTCCTGACTATGCAATGTCCCTGAAGTTGGAATGCAGTGTTCAATCGGATCATATAAAGATAACAGATCCCCCACACTCTGGAAACGGCGTTTTTTGACCGACAGACAAACTTACCTCTTTGGAAGGACACACCAAGCTCTGTCGCTTGATGTGTCACTGACAAAAGTAGAATCATACTTCGTTGCCTGTACAGACTTTACTTCCTTTTTGGGACGCCCTCCTTTGAACAGATGGAGCATGAAGTGACAGAAATTCACTTTTAAAAAACCTGGCCCTGGGTTAAGGTATGGGGCACTCTCAGGGTCCAAACCTTTCAGGCTCTATTGTGCTGATGCAAGATACACTTACCTGGCCCGATCCAACTCCAAACTTCTCCTCTAATTGTTAATATTATTAGTTTCACTTGAGGATCTTCGATCAGTAAGTGCTCCAAGTAACTGTTTGCTTGTGTCGTTGCTCTCAAAGGGCACTCAGGTCGGGGGTCGTTGTCTTCTAATACTCTACACATCTTATTAGGGAAAGTATCACGAAAAAGGCCCTTCTCCCAGTTGAATGATTGAAAGCATGAAGTCGATTGCCGATAAATTAAGCCAAGGAAAAAATCACCGTCCACGAAATGTCACTCGAAGCCCATCAATACCTCGAGGTACTGCAACGCGACTAAATGCCAATAAAGCACAATTAAATTTGCACAAGTATCCTGGGAAGAGTGCCTCTAGCAAATGGAAAGACTTGAACCCATTTTCCTGCGTATACAGGAGAAATTCAATGAGTTATTGCTTTAATCATCGAATGCGCAAAGGTTTTTGGGGGTGGTTTGTGGCGACACCTACTGGAATACGCCCTTAGCCGACGGTTATTCTTCTGGCCTGCATATATTGCAAAAACATTACCGTATCTGCTGGAGGTCTCATGGTACCTAGATTCGCCCTGGATTTCCGCTTTAAAAGTGAATGAAGAACACCTCATCCACTATTAAAACAGCTAGCAAGCCCCAGCTCAGTGAGTGGCCACCATTTCAGCCATATTCTCTGATTCTCGACAACGAACTGGAGTTCTCTGGGAATTGCTGCATATTGGGATAAAAGATAAGAAATCTCATCGAACGAGTCGCAGACCAAACGTCAGTGTGGTTTCCCTCACGCCTTCTCCGTTAATACCGACAAGGTCCTGCCTCACTCCGTCAGGGAAACATGGAGGATGGAGGAAAGATGGAGGTGCTGACACCACAGGGTCCCGTTGGCTCCTTGGTTACGCTCTTGCCTTCGTCCTCGCCGACCGGATTACTGGGAGAAACGGGGGTTCAACTCAAGACTTCTATTTTTCCCCTCTCATGGAATCTCTGGAAGGCATGGACTAACGAGCAGATCCTAAACTCCGATATAATCATTGCCTTCAAATACCTGCCTGCCTTCTACTGCCTAGTCACCTAGCACTACTCTATTCTTTTTTTTTTACCATGAAGGCATGAAGCCTCTTCTTAAAGCTAGTCGCGGAAGGGGCAGTCGCTATATGATCGTCTAACGCTTTCCACCCTTACGAAAATGTCTTATAGGATTCCTATATATTCCTAAAGGAATATATAGGAATCCTATAGGAACCTAAAGGAATCCTATAGGATCCTATATGCCCTATAGAGTTCAGTTTGGGACCTATAGAGTCCCCTATAGAAGCTATAGAGTCCCCTATTGAACCTATTGAGTTCCCTATAGAACCTATAGGGTTCCTCATGGAACCATTAGGGTTCCCCATAAGGCCTATAGGTTCCCTATAGGACCCAAAGGGTTCTGTATAGGACCCGTAGGGTTCCCTATAAAACCTATAGGGCTCCCTATAGGACCTATAGGATTCTCCATAGGACTCATAGGATTCTCTATAGGACCTATAGGATACCCTATAGGACCTATAGGGTTCCCTATAGGACCTATAGGACCTATAGGGTTCCCTATAGGGCTTATACGGAACCCTATAGGCCTATAGGGTTCCGTTTGAAGTTCTCCTCTAGGCCACTAGATGGAAGTATTGGGTTGTCACATTTCTCAAAGGGCACAAAAGTGCCCTACCCTTACCCATGGAATCATCTCTCACAAGAGAGTTTTGTATGTCCCCTAATGTCTCACCTTGTCTCATTGTAGCAATCAATTAACTTTGACAGTTCCTTATTTGTCATCCCCATCTTCCAGATATAATCATGGAGTCCCGTGAAGANCTATAAGAAATAACTATAGGTTTCCTATAGGACATTTCCGTAAGGGCACGCATTCACCACCTTACAAGTGAAGAAGTTATTCCGCGACCTGAGTCTCGCTTGGGGCCGTCGCAATTTGGAGCGATTCTTCCTTATCATCAAGTTGAATAAACCTATCACGCTCCACGTTATCGATTTCCTTAATTTTCTCAAGAATATGTTAATTCCATCGTTTGAAAAGGGATTAAATGAAACGAGGTGATATCTCTTGAAAAAGTTGTAAGGAGCATATGAAACAAATTCTGTCGGTTTTTAGCCTCCTATGTAATGTCCATCGAGCAACATGTACGTGTTCTCGTTCGGAGCTTTTGCACGGATGCCTTGCCCTGTGATACAAAGGCCACCCAATTAAAGTGGAGTGAAACGTGTATCCGAAAGAACTTCAGGTTTCATGGCATTATCCGTTTCGATTATATCACTATTGTATGGGGAAAAAGGGTTGAAAAAGTACGAACCTAATGACCGCCTTGCGTCATGTCGCCAGCTGTGAAGTTCTTCCCTTTCAGACCATTGTTTATTTTATCAACGCTCTTCCCAAGAGGAGAGACGGATGTCCTTCATCCTTGTAATCTTAGTTTTATCTTTTAATGCATGTAAGTCACTCATCCTATAGTTAGTAGACAGCCGAAATGACAGGAAGAAATTCCTTCATCCTGATGATGAGAGAGTTCATGAAATCACGGTTAAATATTATGGTAGAACAAATAAAGTTTGGGATGAAAATGAACGACAGGGAAAATGGGAGAATCAAATACCAGATTTATATTGGAACAGTCAATTACTGTGACCCCTGCTAAGGTTCCTCATCGGCGGAGAGGGATCAATGGAGATATTTATTGAAAGTTCTCGTCGTTCGTGATTCGGGTAGCTGTCGCTATGCATGAGAAGAAAACGGGGAACTGAACAAGAATGACCGTAGAAGGTAAACTATGACCAGTATTTTTCAAGGGAATGAAACAAAAGTTTGCCATTAAAGTCATATTTAAAAAAGGAGTTCATAAGTTAGCAATTAAATGGTCATTAAAAGTCCTCAATTTCCCTCGAGAACTCATATCACGCTTGCAATCATCATCTCCTGAACTCACGAAGGTGACTTCTGCAGATTTCATTAAGTCAAATTCTGTTGATTTCATGCAGCATTCCGTTTTGATCATGATAAAAAAAAGAAGCAAAATTCTTTCATCGAGCGCACTCTAGTCCAGATAGACAGTATGGGGGCCTGGAGATCATCACGCCTCACGTCTCTTCCATCGACATCGACTGGATCCCGACGCGTCTTGCCAGGGAAGATAGTGGAAGATGGAGGTCGTGAGCCTGGCTCTCGCCTTCGGGGTTCTCGGACTCCTCATCTACGCCCTCGCTTGTTTCCTCGCTCGACCGGATTACTGGGAGAAACGGGGGTTCAAGGTCAAGACTCCAGTTTATCCTGTCTTTGGGAATCTGTGGAAAGCATGGACCAGCAAGCAGATCTTTCGCTCCGATATCGACGCTATCCGTCAGATCGGCAAGGTACTCTTGGTCTCATATTTCTGTCTGTAGTGTCATATCCCTGGACATTTTAGTGTCATGGTCGTAGTCGGGGAGTCTGTTATTATGCCATCAAATCAAATCATTTTCTGAACTCCTCATTTCCCATGCCCTCTTGCACTGTCGCTGAGCGCAATAAATACTAATAATACTAATAATGATTTCATGGAGACATGCAGCTTAAATCGAAACGAGCGTTGTTTTGCTCGGGAAAAATAACCACTTCTTGACCGCCTGGTTATTCGTTATTTCCCCTAGTAGCACATAACATTGAAACAGCATGGATTCAATGTTGCTTAAACATTCAGACATTGAATTAACATTGAATCAATGTTGACTCAATGCTATGTGTTACTAGGGTCATACCTTGTGATGTAATCTCTTTAACCCTTTTTGTGCTAGGGAACGATACATCGTCGTTTGTAGCCTACGAATCGGTTGCGTGGCACTAAAAGGCTTCAGAGCGCCGTTTCTGTTTGACTCTGATGAAGGAAAAAGAATCATCCAATTCGTGTTCATTTCTCAACTTCCTAAGTGAATGTGTGAACCCAATCTCGATTATTAAAATGAGAGATTTGCTTATTTCCATCTGGACTGTTGAAAGAATCGATAAAATAGGAATAAAAATCAAGCATGAGGAAACGCAAACTGCAAAAGAGGGAAATTTTTCCATAGAAAAAGCGGAAAAATTTTCAACACATATCCGAATCATGCCGTGGGAAGGTAATTTATTGTGAACTAATGAAGTCGCAAAAGTTAAATAAAAAAGTGGATTACAAAGTTCATGATGTTGAAATTTGTTGTCAGCAAAAATTTGTCTGTAGAATAAAAGTATTCATTTAAAAGAAGTTGAAGCAGAATAAAGTTACTTCCATTAATTACTTCAGCAGTCCCTAAAGTTATACAAACACGCTCAAAAGAAATAAGCAGTAAAAGACTCATGAAGCAAAAGTATAAAGATTTCATCATCTTCGCCCGCTGGTTAAAGGCCCTTCCTATGTTAAAGGCTCAGTCAGAAACCTTGACCTTGGCGTGCTCGCGCAACGAAGCTCTTCCCTTCTCCGTCGACCCTGGCGATGAGCGTTGAAATAAGCAAGCCACGTCTTCCGTTACACAAAGCATGCCAACCCGATCATCCGAATCGATCCACGACTAGTCTTTTTTATATCGATATCAGGCAATCTCAAACATACGACATTGAGCGACCTTGAAGGATCGTTGCAATATCAAGGCAACGATTCCACATTTCAGGCTTCGGTATTGCTACTTTTGTTACTTGCATGCGTTACTTTTGAGACACTATCAACTTGGCTGGCCAAGGATGACGTTCCATTCAAGTGAAGAATCCAATTCGCAGGAATCCGTTTCCACTCAGTTTTCATTCGTCGTCCTCTTGTCAAGCTCTTTCGACTTCGGACTCTCGGTAGGGAACGCCATCTCAACAGTTCCCTTGCCTCAAGGAGCAGGCAACCATCGGGACATCAGTTGCCAACCCGCATTTGTAAATGAATTCAAATGGGTCATAGGGATGTAGCAAGGGCTACATGAGGACTCTCTGCATTCCTCTTACAAAAATTTCTGACACTTCAAAGAATATGGCCAGCACGTCTTGCTTTTCCAAACATTCCATTTTCTTACCTGTTTCGGGGAGTAATGTGGGTCGACCTACATCCATCAACTGCTGAGGCAATCATTGGACCTCGAATAGAAGGAAAAACATGTTTACTAATTCCGAAACTCGAAAAGTCTTGAAAAATACTTTTGCAAACTGAAAATAACTCTATCTGCAATTCATTTTTTCTTCCCTTTTTGTCATATCTAATTTTGCTTTCGCACTTCTCATTCAATTCTCAGAAGCATCACCTAAATTTACAACCGACAGCTAAAACGATGCATGCTGACGACAAAACTACAAGGCCCTAAAGACTCTCATTTGCCACCCTGTCCTTCCGATGAACCTCATAGGTGTACGGGACCTACGATGGGAAACACCCAGTGCTGGTGGTCGCAGACCCGGAGATGCTCAAGGAGATCATGGTCAAGCAGATAGACGTCTTCACCGACCGACGAGCATTTCCTGCCTTTCAGTGAGTCACTGAGTATGTCTATGAGGGTAAAACTCCAAGCAAATTATTTGGACGGAGTCCAAACTCGAAATGCTGATTAGGAAAAGTAAATCCAAGAAATTTCTTCCTCGAGATTCAATTTTTCAAGCATGGAAATAGAAGCGTCGAAGATCCAGCTCGATAAGGATAGCATCCCTCTCTGGGAAGTTCCTGCAGAGGTGAAAATCAGACAAAACGCACAGCATCCGCGATCATTTCGAGATCTCACAGAGCTGAGAGGGGGCCGCTGGCAGTGCGCCATGGTCAAGCACGATTTTCAGTGTTTCTCTCACCATATCTGTTGAAAAAGATATGGTGAGATCTGTAGGCATTTCTCTTATACAAGCTACATACCTCCAACAGCTTGCAGTCGAATATTATTGGCCTAAGCTTCAATGTTCTTTATTGCGTGTAATTCCTTAGCTGATCTCAGCCAATACTCGGTGGCATGACGCTCTACTATTCTGAAACAATTGCGTTGAACCTGGGTGAGATATTTTCTCAATACTAACTAAAAGAACAGCAGCGCGTGTAACTACACTTCAAGCAAGTTACAGATTTCGAAGAATAGAGTTACATCAAAGATCTTTGGAGCACCTCTCTCTGGGATAATTAACTCATTCGAGTTCTTCTCTGTTTCTAAGTCACGCAATAAATATAGTCTCTTATTATGCACAAGTAATATAGGATACTCGATTTCAGATCGAACGGTTCGGCCATGCCAAATTTCCTAACGATTCCTTCCTGTCCACCCATGACTGAAAGTACAAAGGTTTTCATCGAAATTGCTTTAAAACATCCTTTGAAAATAAATATCTCATCCATCACAGCTTTGGTGTCCCATACATTCTTTATTTGAATCCCTCCAGGCGTCAGCCAGTGGTGAGGCGCTTCATTTCCATCCTGAAGGGCCAAGAATGGAAGGACCTCCGGTCGAGCATCACACCCGTGTTCTCCTCGGGAAAAATCAAGCGGATGTCTCCCATGATCGAGGAATGCGCCCAGAGACTCATCAAAAACTTCCAATCTTCCCTTGAAAAGTCATCCGTCGACAAATCTTCCTCGCCTGGTGTTCTCGACCTCAAGGCTCACTTTGGCTCCTTCACGTTAGACGTCATCGCGACCTGCGCCTTCGGCACCAGACTGAACTCTTTGGGAACACCTGATGACCCTTTCATTAAACACGCACGCAAATTCTTCATCAACGAAAAAACATCCACCCCACTCGGAGTTTTACCATTCATGTTTCCCAGCATCGCGACAGCCAACCTCGCTTTATTTTCACGCGAGGGTCTCCGCTTCTTCACTGACGTCGTCCAGCAGCTCCTACAGGAGAGGAAAGACTCCGGCAAAATGGGCATGCGAGGGGACTTCATCGACCTTCTCCTCGAGGTTCAATCGAGCGACCTCAAGGGCATTGTAGACGACGAGACTATCATTTCACAAGCCGTTCTCTTCTTTGTCGCCGGGTACGACACCACCGCCACCCTCCTAACCATGTCCACTTATTGTCTTGCAATGCACCCTGCAGTACAGACGAAGCTCTGGGATGAGTTAAAGAAAACCGGCCCCTTGACTCGAGAGTCCATCCTCAACTGCTCTTATCTGGATCATGTTATCAACGAGGCCCTCAGGCTGTACCCGCCGGCCATAAGAACGGAAAGACTCTGCGGGAAAGACGCCGTCGTCAATGGCTACAAGATCGAAAAAGGAATCGTCGTACATGTCCCCATTTATGCCATGCACCACCTGGAGGAATTTTTCCCGAAGCCGTACCAATTCATACCAGAGAGATTTGCGGATGACCAGGTTTTGCCATACACATTCCTCCCATTCGGACAGGGGAGCCGGAACTGCATCGGGATGCGATTCGCCTTGGAGGAGGCTAAGATCGCCTTGGCTCACGTCCTTGCAGCTTTTGAGTTTTCTCGAGCCACGGAAACGGAAGTGCCACCTCGAGACCATCCCAATATGTTCCTCTATCAACCGCTCGATATCAAGATAAAGGTCACTCCCCGATGACCGCAACATATTTTTTCGGGTGGCTTTGCTTTTGAGAACTGGCTCTTTTCTTCTTTTCAAGTACATCTACATGGGTAGGCGAATTTGAACTCATTTGCTCTCGCATTCGTTGTTCCGTATTGATTTTTTTAAGGTTTGTCAGTTCCAATAAATATATAGGCTGAGTCTCCACTATACAGCTAAAAACTGGATTCATTTTTCAATACTGTTTCGTAAGTCACAAAATCAATTAGCGACCCCTGGATTCGTTTCCAAAGTTACCGTCGGTCATGCACTTTTTTTAAAAGTTTTTCATTACCTAATGTTTTTGTGAGATTCAAGATGCAGAGTTTGGAATTGAGTTCCTGGAATGCATTTAAACTAGGGGATCATGAAAATGTGCTTCCCTCTGTTATGTTGCAAAGTTTATGCTAATATAATGGACAGCATAAAAAATTCTCAAATTCTCAAATTAGGTTAGGGAGCTCCCTAACCTAATTTGAGAATTTCTATAATGAATTTCTTATCAACTTGGAAGAAGTTCCATAGTTAGAATTTTCTATAATGATTCGAATGTAATGATTGTGAGGGAAGTCCAAATTTTTCGGCGAAAATTCAGGAAAGATGAACTGGATTTCCCCCGAGGGTAGGTCTTTGTCCGTTTTTTGCAGAGCTCATTGAAGACTGCCGAGAGGCACATCATTTTGTACCACTCGGTCATGACTTTGCGGTTTTCCTGAATCTTCATGGTCTTCACTCTATCATCATAACGTACAACGAAGACATACATATTCTGCCCCGCACTATGGGAACAGCCTGTATAGATTTGACTTGCATTTCGGGACGCACCTCCCTTGAATTAATCGAGGATTAAGCGACAGAACTGAATTCTCGTAACTTGATTAGGGAATGGAGCACTTACAGGGTCTAAACCTTCCCGACACAAACGAACTTTGGCACGGAACAACGTCCCTGAATCGATCCAATAATCAACCATTCCTCTAATTACTTATTACACTTGAGGACCTTCTGTCAACGTGCGCACCGAATGGCTGTTTCATTGGGCTTCCAGATCGAGGGTCTTCTTCGAAGCCATGTTTCCCTCTATGGAAGAGGCGGTAAGAATTGAAAATGGGGCTTCGCTATGCATTTCATCAAAACACGTATTACTTCACAAGTCCTTCTTCCAGTTGAAAGATTGATGGTGTCAAGTTCTCAACGGATAAGTTACGCCAAGAAAAGGATCACCGTCCAGGAAATGTCAATGCTCGCTTTCACTCTAAGTACCTCAACGCAATTAATTGCCAATGATTCACAATTAAAATTGCCCAAATAACCTAGTAAGACTGCCTCTAAGAAATGGATGGGCTTCAACCAGCGGGTGAAAAGCTGCTTTTAAGCTTTTGGTGCATCGAATGCGCAATGGTTTTTGGAGGTGGCGTGTGGTGACACCTGGTGGCATATGTCCATAGCTGATGCTTATTCTTCGAGCTTGCAGATGTTACATCACTCCCGTGTCGGCTGGAAGTCTTATTGTGCCTAAATTTGCCCCAGGAGTACCGCTTCAAAAGGGGAAAAGGAACACCTCATTCACTGTGAAAGGCCCTAAGGAGCGCCATTTCTGCAGAGATTCTCAGATTCTTACCGACGAACTCCTCATAACGGCTGCGCGTGGGAGCGAAGAAAAATCTCATCGAAATAACCCGAGCCCATCGTGGAATCCTGGAGCTCACCGCCCCTCCCCCACCGACATCCACTTGGACCTCACCCACCGGGCCAGGGGAGACCGCGGAACACGACAGCGAACTCATTCGATTGGATGTCTCGGTGAGAATATTCATTGGCGCAATGAATGGCAATGAATGAATGAACAAATGGCGCAATGAATGGCAATGAATGAATGAATGAATGGCGCAATGACTTGGGATTGTATTTTCTACGTTCAGTCCGATTCCAAAAACCTCATCGAGCCCCATCTCCATCTTCAATCTAGTATTCCACGTCCAAAAACATTCTATTTGTATTATTTCGGTAACTAATATAAGTAATTCATAGGTTCGGATGTGATATAATACTATTTATTGCAAAACTTGCATGGAATAGTCATCAGCATTAATCTCTTCCGTATTTTTCCTTTTTCATTCACAGCAGACCTTCAGATTACGCTAGTTACAAAATCGGGATGAACCAAATTTCCTTCTTATTTGCTTATGAAACTCAAAAGTTTTTCCATTGCCAAGTTACTTATTTACTTATTTATTTACTTATTTATTGATTGGTGCGTCTGACGAGCCTGACGAATCCGCTATTATTCAACATAGGAGGAAAACCTTTAATCCCTCTATCATTTATTTTAGATGCTAACGTTCGATATTCCGGGGATTTATTTTTGTTTCGGACTGATACGACGATCGAGAGACGAGACTCCCAAGCGCCGTCAGCCGACGGAAAACCCTAAAACATTAAAACTCCAAAGAGCCGCTGAGAAAAGCTCGGCATAAGCGCTCACGTTTTTTTTGTTGCAAAAATCGTTATTGTTAAGACTTGGCAATCCCATCAACAAACGCACGTTTGAGGTTAGAAGTTTCTGGGAAAAACCAACTCACTTCGTAAATGTATCAATTTAATCGCTTTTGCGAAAGCTCATCCTCCCGAACTTAAAGTCCAAGCTGGAATTTCCCAGTTGGACCAAAGCCGTACTTTCAGACGCATTCCAGTCGGCAAGGATGTGGAAAATGCTCAATTCCGACTGGAAATTTCCAAACGAAACTTCCACTTCCCAGCTGTTTTTCCCAGCTGGATTGGGTCTTATTTACAGCTGCGTCCAACTGGGACTTTAAACCGGCCGTGGAACACAATATTTACTTAGTCTCTCTCTCCCGACTGGCGAGGGAAGCGGCCTTCGGCTCTCGAGGCCTTCGGCTGGTGAGGGGAAGAGGCCTTCGATGGCTCAGCCCGAGAGGCTGGCTTCCCAGCCGAAGCCCTGCGGCCGCTCGTGCGCAGAGCGAAGGGCCAGCTGGCCTCGCTGCACGCCCGCACCTTCACGCCTTCATTGTGCGTGCGTGCGTGGTGAATGGAAGTCTGCTTCTGCCTGAGGTAAGCTCTTTCAAATACAGATTCTACAGTATAGTTACCACGGCAGCAAAAGACGCACCATTCAAGACTTGATGCGAGGGTTAATACCATGCATCAGGCCTCCTGCAGGTCATATGAAGTTGTTCGGTACTGTCAGATGGTCAGCGATTCCAATGTCAGCTGGGTGAGACCCCGAGTTCTATTCGATCTGTGCCGTTCTGCTTTTCTTTAAATAGAATTTATCATCATCTCCATCATTACCAACCTATACGATTCATGCGATCGAACGGCAAATTTAACAACTCCGATTTACGAGGAAAATCGTTCCTTCCCCCTTATTCTACGCGAGGAGATAAAGGGACCGAGCGGGGATCCCCTTTGACCAGTCAAATCGAATCCCTAAGCCCGAATGCAAAATCCGCATGGGACATTCGAACGCCTTGCTCCTTCAACTTGCACATCGAGTCCTGCTTCCGACTTTTATTATTATTAAGTTTTATAATTAAGACCTACCGAATCGTCCAATAAGTTTTGGAACTGGTTCGATAATTCCAGTATTTCTTGACATTGACGATTCGAATTAGTCGCCCTTTTCAGTTGCAACATCTCAGTCTTCTCGATCCCTCGTGTTAAGTGGTTTTTTGTTAGTGCAACTAATCGGCAGCTAATTAGCATGTCAGAATATCGAGTCACGTTCGTCCATATAATGTATTTCTGATATATATTATTAGATATTCAGATAATTTTATTAGAAAATGTCAATTCAAAGACAATTCCGAGACAAAATTCCGGATCCCCTCTTCTGGCTTGCAGGGCAAGCAAAATAACTTAAGCAAAATTCCTTGTGATAAAATGCTGTTCGAGTTGCCAAAATGAGCATTTCACTCACTTTTGATTCGTATTATTTTTCAGGATTTTTTCCGAAATGGGCCAACAGAGAAAACAAGGCTTTAAAAAAATATGGGCATTTCTTTATTAACCTGAATTTAATAAAATGCTGATATGAAGGGCAAGAGATAGCGAGTGTCAAAAAATAAATAATGCCACTAAATGCCTTCGATGCACGAAGCAACGCTGGCAGACTCGTGGCACCGCAAAGGTTCTTTCCAATATTAGTGACGGCCTCGAAAAAGGTCTGTTTTCTTTGAATTGCCAGCGCCAGGTCACGCAATTTCGGCCTCGAATGTCTTCCACGGGAATTTAATCCTCGCCCCCAAACCTGAATGAGGTGGCGCTCCTTCGTGCCACGCATATCTTTCAGCACCATCAGCTCTGTCCTGTGTGGGTTTCGTGAGCCCTGGTGCTTGTATGCCGGTCTTTTGAATGGGGCGTTGGAGCCAGTTTCACTTCGGCCAGGTTCCACTGTGTGTTTTCCGGTCTAGCTGCGTAACGACGAGGAATCGACGCTCGACGACGACGCTTCCCGGATTCGTGGCTGGTCCAAGGACCTGCAATAGTTCGGAGTCTCTTCTTCCCTCGGGAACGGCAGCAACGTTTTCAGTCGTTTTCAACGTCTGCATCTCCTCGTCAGCTTGATCCTGGTCCTCGATCTCGCAGTAGCAGCCGCCCTGTGTTGGCTTTTCTTCTCTTCCCTCGAAGAAGAGTCGTCCGTCTGCGTCGCACTTCCGGGTCCGCCGAAGTTCTCCGGTCTGGTCCACATACGGGCAGGGACATCGCAGCATCGGTTCAACCAGTCGATCTCGATCTGATGGCACAGGCCCGTATCACTTTTAACCTGGATTCGGGACAGACCGTGGCACCAAAGGAACACGATCTCCAACATCTTACACACGGAAAGATCGACGGGAAAACGACCCTTTGTCCCCGTTAGGAAAAGGGCTGGCGAAGAATCCTCTTCACACCGAAAGCAGAAGCCTTTCGCCTGTAGAGCCTGGTCGAACCCTCCACGGCCTTCGAGAATTCAAGCGGGTCCAGTGGCTCCCTTAAATGCGGCGGCGCTCTCCTCACGGCGGAACTGCGATAAAAGCATCCCGAGCAAGCACCGAAGTTGCTCCATGCGTTCAGGCGCGAGATGAATTTAAGACTCCGAGCCAGAGCAAGAGTCCAGCTTCTACGACTGCGTATCGATTACCGCAGGCACACGGAGTCGAATCGCTTGGCGGGAACCCGGTGACTCGAACCCTCCGCAGTTCCACTATCGAGTCCTGATCTGGCCTCGCAACGCTTTATCTCGAAGGGCAGGAGATGCGTGTTGACGTGGGTATGGAGTCGGAATAATGAAATTTTTTTTACCCCTTTTTTGGGGGGGAAGTGGAGAAAAGGTTGTCCAGGAAATTCCCTGAGAAACTATCAAGTGAAATTATCCACACCCAGACTAACAAGACTCGGTACTGGATAGTAGCGAGACGAGTCCTTTGTCGCAACCATGTACAAGAATATAATTTGCAGCCGAACAGAAAATCAGGAACAGTGCCAAAAAAAGACAAATATCTGTAGAAACGAAACCATGAAAACGAGTGAATCCCAAGTCTTTCATGGCCGCTCAGGAGCTTTCTATTCGTCGAGTATTTGCCACATGGAAAAGAACCGAGACGTTACTCTTTCGTGACTTTTCCTTGTTGGAGTGAATATGCTTAGCCGTAATGGGGTCCACGAAATTCTAACAGGTTCGTGCAAGAATCCTTACCGGCGCAGATCCAAATGAACCGACGCCGCCATTGCAGTTTCGAACGGACGAGAATTAACCACGAGCCAATAAACTTCACCTGGTTTTTCTTTCGCAGCGACCCCCGTCCGAGAAGGGGGTCGCTTGCGATCGAAGAGGTCTTGAGGCTCTGCCCTCAAGGACCGTCGGCATTCGTGGCACCTCACGATGGAGAAAGCGCCATCACTTCTGCGTTGTGGTGCGGGGTCCCCCGAAGAGAACCGCATCCCACCGAAAAAGCAATCAACGCAATGACACTCAAATCTCAAGTAAGTTCCAACCCAGAAGACAAGGCACTCAACAAACCTGGGCAGTCGGGCGTTCCTGGCTTGGGGAGATGATGCGTGATGATCAGGTGGAAGTCCTTCCACTCTCGTTCTCGACGCGCTTCTGGAGGGACGACTCTCCTCGCAGTTTATATAGGTGCCTCCCCCTCCCCACTCGAGTGCGATGGGGACGATGAGATCGGCGATAAAGATCGCCCTTGGAAGAGGTGAAAGGGGAATCATTGGAAAGAGGAAACGAACGACGGGACAAAAACTCGTGGGATTCACGCGGGACCTGGCGTGTGTGGACATCTGGAGGAAGCAGTCTGAAACTTCAGTTCTGGAAGGAACCATTAGATGGCGCTGCCGTGCACCGATGGTTTCTGCGGGTTCTTGATATCCCTGTGGTTCACAGGTCCCGCCAAGCAATTGGACTCCATGTGATCCGACGACAATCGCTACGAGGGATTTGGAAGGTCCACACTTGTCTCTCGCTTGGAGTAGCTACAAAACCTCATACATGGATGTATGGGTGAAACGTATGGATGTTGAAGGACATAGCAAAAGTATTATTTAAAAATACGTTAATTAATAAAAATCTAATATCTCGCGTGAACTTGATTTTGTGATCATGTCTCACCAACGTATCGAAAATGTTTTCCAATAATCGCGTTTCGGAATCGCTTATTTTTCTGCCTTTACATCGGGACAGAATCTCTTTAGGGAATCCGCTCGTTGTACGCATCATCGAATCCATTCCAAGGCATGTGTTCCACTCCGTTCGCTTTCTTTCTCCTGAATCGAAGCAATGGAAGTTCGATGCTTTGGTCTTCTGCAGTTCTTCCGTGCAAAACGCACCGGCGATCGGTCTCTCGGGTTCGATATCTCGTGTGCGATCGGTTGAATCTTCAACACTTCCATGACCTTGACTAATTGTTCACTCTAATTGTTCACTAATTGTTCACTCTAACTCTGTTCATAGTCCTACTTGAAGATTGAAGACCGGGAGGGAGTGAGGAGATCATCAAGCCTCGCGTCGCCTCCATCAACATCGACCGGAACTGGACGCATTGTGCTAGGAGATACGGAGGAAGATGGAGGCCCTGAGCCTGGCTCTCGCCTTCGGGGTCCTCGCCATCCTCGTCTACGCCCTCGCCTGCCTCCTCGCTCGACCGGATTACTGGGAGAAACGGGGGGTCAAGGTCAAGACTCCTGTTTAGCCTTTGTTCGGGAATCTGTGGAAAGCATGGACCAACGAGCATATCTTTCGCTCCGATTTCGACGCTATCCACCAGATCGGCAAGGTGCGATATGAAAGTTCTCGTCGAAGATTTTTGTCTGTATTTCCGTTTCTTCGAGTCGTCGCCCAGGAGTCAGTTATCGCAACTTCATATGACATCGTAATGGCATCGTAGCAGTACTCCTCATTTCCCATGCCCTAGAAACTCTGGCACAGTCGCTTAGCACAATAGTTAAAAATGGAGCATTTTTTTTACTGAGACATACAATGCAAATCGAAACGTGCTTAGATCAGCTTGATGAATGTGAGAACTCCATGAAAACCTAGTTTCAATTCTTGGCGAGCTAATCCCTTTAAGGCAGTATCTCATCATTAATTCGGCCAAAGAAAGACGAGTGATTTGACAGGGTTCGTTGAGGACGAAGTTTGAGAGAACGAAGAATTCAGTTTCCACGCAGCTCATATTCATTTTCCTCTCTCCCCAAGATTCAACTGCTTCTGGCGCTGGTAGGGAATAAGCTTAAATTTGCTGTACTATTTTTTTTACTGTCTAATAAAATATAAAAAGAAACCATTTTTGAATTTCTCATTACCCAATGAATTCCTCAGGTGTACGGGACCTACGACGGGAGCCACCCGACGCTCGTGGTCGCGGACCCGGACATGATCAAGGAGATCCTGGTGAAGCAGATCGACGTCTTCACCGACCGACGACCCTTCCCCGCCATCCAGTGAGATCTTGGAGTAACTCGTGCATGATCGTATGAATTGGTCGAAATCACACGTATTGGCGAGAAAATTACGTCAGTCGCGGAGACGATGACCTCAGTCGGCTTCAAGGTTCAAGGGGGTTCCTTCGCACATTTCATACCTCGCACAGATTTTCTGGAACGAAACAATACTAAATGTAAATGACTAACGTAATGACTAAGAGAACACTCAAGATTCCCCACATCCACGCATTCTGGCCAATTCATGCCTATCACACTCATACCTCATCAAGCAATATTAAGTTTTAATATTTTCTTACAGAGCGACGATACGCCTGAACTGCCTTACATATTATATCCTTCCTCAGTTGGAGACTGGAGCCTTGCATATGAGCATCGATCAGAACAGCATCTGCCCTTCCGCCAGAAAAAAAATTTCTCATCGATTCCGTTTTTGCCCCACTGACTTGCTTGTGTAACCGGTAATAGATCTACCAAAAGTGTTCATATTTTTGCCCTATTAATAGCACTGAAGAAGTCGTTCCCGAGTTATCGTTAAGATGAAACTGTTCCGCAATTTTACATATACCAGCGAGCGAACATACTGTCCAAAAGAGACTGTGCTCAATTTGTTACTACGCGGAGAATTTATAGGAAAAAAAGCATATTAAAAGAGTAGATAGTTTGGACATGCAAATCAACCTCTACCAGTGCATGCGAAAGACAAAGTGGTGGCACCAGAAGCAGTTTCTGTATAAGCTAGATGACACGATGATGAATGTTAAACTAACCAGATTCGGCTCCATCACGTGGATTTCCTTCTTGAGGTTGAACGAGAGCTACTCGAGACTTATAACGAATTCAGCAGGAAAAAAGAGGGAGACCTTCTGAACACGAGCCCCCTGCGTAGCTTAAGGAATGGCATTTAGCCGGCCAGATAACGGCAGCTAAAATATTTTTTTAATATTCCACCAGAGCATGCAGAGCATGTCAAGGAAGGAATCGAGATGGGATTGTTGTCAAACTCTCCAGCCCCGAAAGAATGTTTCCAAAAATGTCCAAAAATTTCGCACTGAATAGAAACTTGGACGATTGTGAGACATTCAAAGCGTAAACATAAGGAAAGATTTTGTAGGAAGAAATGTGAATACATAGAAAAGGGCTGAGTGAAAGTTCAAGCCTACTGTACAGCATTAAAAAAAAATCAAATTTGCTTCAGATGAAAGAACCATCCTTCTGGGGGACTCGGATAAGACTGAAAACAAAAACGTTTATCCTGTTTCAGGCATGTTGACTCTTTCTTCCCAGAGCTCCCAGAGTCGAGTGATAAAACTAAACTTTTATGTATTTTTATTTATATGTTCGACTACCTGTATACCTGATTTTTCGTGAACTATAGCCTTTTGAGTCCGCTCCTATCGAATTAAAACTACAAGCGATGTTTCAAAGGCATTCGCGTATTTGAGATAGGATGAAGGGCTCCTATGATTTTTTTTACTGAAATCTTCCACAGGCGTGACCCAGTGTCGAGGCGCTTCGTGTCCTTCATGAGGGGACAGGAATGGAAAGACCTCCGATCGAGCCTCACCCCCGTGTTCTCCTCCGGAAAAATCAAGCGGATGTCTCCCATGATCGAGGAATGCGCTCAGAGGCTCGTCGAAAACTTCCACTCTTCCCTCGACAAGTCATCCGCCGACCAGTCTTCCTCCGCAGGAGTCCTCGATCTCAAGACTCACTTCGGCGCCTTCACCTTAGATGTCATCGCGACCTGCGCCTTTGCCACCAGATTGAACTCTTTGGGAACACCCGACGACCCTTTCATTCAACACGCCCGCCGGTTCTTCATGAATCCATATACATCGACACCACTTGGAGTTTTGCCATTCATGTTCCCCAGCATCATGTCCACCAACCTGACCTTCTTCTCGAAGGAGAGTCTCCAATTCTTTATCGATGTCGGTTATCAACTCTTGAAGGAGAGAAGGGCCTCCGGCAATGTGGGAATCCGCGGGGATTTCATGGATCATCTCCTCGAGGTTCAAGCGACCGACTCCAAAGGTACCGTCGACGATGAGACCATCATTGCACAGGCTGTCACCTTCTTCGTCGCCGGATATGACACCACCGCCACTCTTCTCACCATGTCCACCTATTGCCTTGCCATGAACCCTGCAGTGCAGACAAAGCTCCGGGACGAGTTGAAGAAAGCCTGCCCCTTGACTAGAGAGTCTATTCTCCATTGTTCTTACCTGGATCATGTCATCAACGAAGCCCTTAGATTATACCCGCCGGCCATAAGAACGGAACGTCACTGTGGGAAAGACGTCGACATCAACGGCTACAAAATCGAAAAAGGCATCATCGTAGTTGTCCCGATCCACGCCATGCACCACATGGAGGAATTCTTCCCGGAACCGGACCAATTCATTCCAGAGCGGTTTGCGGATGACCAGGTTTTGCCATACACATTCCTCCCATTCGGACAGGGAAGTCGGAACTGCATCGGGATGCGTTTCGCCCTGGAGGAGGCCAAAATCGCTCTGGCTCACATCATTACCGCTTTCGAGTTTTCCCGGGCACCGGAAACGGAAGTGCCTCCCCGAAGCCATCCCAACTTGATCTTATATCAACCGCTGAATGTTAAAGTTAAGGTCACTTCCTTATGACCAGTTAAAATTTCCTTTTTCTTGCATTGCTTTTCCGGAGTATATAGGAATAGAATCTCCGGGATAGACGAGCTCCACCTTCCCTGCATTCACATCTGCAACTCTATTCTTTAATGGGTTCTGAGTCGTTATATCCTTCACAATTCTTCATTGCAAGGAGGTTGTTTTTTCAAAGTTTGTCTTTTGTCTTCTTTAAAGGACCTAAGATCCTTGCATACCACCTTCACTTCGCGCGATCAGAAAAATAAAAACGAAGCTCGAATGAGAAAATCCTCCCGCTTTGCGAGCATTTCATGAGGTAAACGTATTTTTTCCTTGTCGATCCCGCTTCATGTCCTTGCCTCCTCTTCGGCCAGGGAGGCAAGGACATTTTAATTTATTTTAGAAGGTCCTTAAGCGGTCATGGAAATGCACCTCGTGGGAAGACTTACAAAAGAACGATACCGACCCGTCATATTCCAGACGACCCAGCAGATTTCCAGAATTGAACCCAAGCAACGTCAAAAGTTGAACTTTAGAACTCATTTACAACCGGACTCGTGAAGCCCATTCTCGTCTAAACGCTGCGGATCTGAAGCATTATGAAATATAAAATAATACGTAGGATAAAATGTGCGAAAAATTATTAGGTTAATTATCATACATGAGTTGGGAACACGAATATAAAAATGTACGTCTTCATAGATTCGCCAGGGAAAATTCGCTAGTACGACTTTTGAAAACGAAAAAAAAAAGGAGGGAAAATAAATCCAAGCTCATCGGATTGCTACCGCGTTTGGAACACAGATGGGAGTCCCATCAACGTCGTGCCAAAAAATTCCCGCCGCCTTCACCGACCGGTCTCGCCAAAGAAGTATTCGAAAAGAAATTCGATTTCGAGCGGACGATGACCAACGCGATCGACAGGATCAACTTGCTGGACCGTTCCGACATCTGGTGGAGGAAGCAGGAACCTCATGTTTATTTCTTCAGCCTGCAGATGTTGTTCAAGTCCTTGGCGTCCCAGAGAATTCCAATCCTGGCAAGGGGAAGAGACACCTCCCACGAGATGGCCGGCCCATCGCTTGCGGGCCGATCCTGCCGGACTCCGATTTCGTCAACTCTCGGCAAGCTAGACTCTTTGTGAAAAGCGTACCTTACCTGATGAACCTTAATGATGAACCTTAATGATGAACACGAATCGCCTCGGATTCGTCGGTGGAGGATTCCGACGAGCGATTTCTGGGATCGGTTTATCCTATTGGTGTAAAATTCGAAAAGCCTGGAGATGGTTTCTTCCTCGCTTCGGCTCCATCGAAAATCGACAAAAAACCCGACGCATCGTGTCGGGAGATGCGATGGAAAGGATGGGAGGTCCTTCGGGCTCCTCGGGCTCCTCATCTTCCCTCTCGCCTTCCTCCTCACCCGACCGGATTACTGGCAGAAACGGGGGTTCAAGGTCAAGCACTCCTGTTTGCCCCCGCTTCGGGAATTTGCGGAAGGAGTAGACAAACGAGCAGATCTTCAACTCCGACGCCAATGCCATCGGCAAGGTACGAAAAGAAGGCATATTTTTCTTTCGTTTCTATTGGGATAGCCGTTCTCCAGTGACTTTATTGTGAGGTTCCTAGTCTGTTATTACAACATGAAATCACAAACACTGAGCTAAGAAAAAGAACCGGAGACGGCGCGCCCATAGGAGTAGTATGGGGGAAAAGGCTGCATTTTGAAGGTTGGGATCAGGCTAAAGCGGGCCTGCGGTGCACATTGGCGGAGTAATGGAGCATGTACCGCGGGAACATTGGAGCAGCCCTTCGGAATACTCCAGCATGCCCTGCCAATACCCGCCGACACCTCTACCATGCACCTCGTGGTCGCTCACAGTCTCCTTC